GTGAGAGTCTTAATTATAAGACTCTCTGATCATAACTCTTTCTTTAACTGTTACTTCACTTTGTTATTCTAATTGCTTGAATAATAATATTGAATATAATAAATATTAGGGTTTTAAAGAATGATTCCTTTTCCTTCACAGTATACTGATTATTTTGAGAATATTGTGCAGGAATCTTCTGTGATACAGATAGAATTTTGGACTCTTCAGCAAGCAAAAGAGAATGAAAGGACTTTAAGCTGTGGCACAGTCTAGTCAGAATTTCATTTTAAAAAATTACCCTCATAACTGTGTGGAGAATGAAATAAGTTCTTAATGCTTTCTAGAACAGCACTTATAGAACTTAAATAGACCAAACATTAACTTTTCTTCCTTATTGCCTTAAACAGAACTTTGTAAAAATCCCAATATGCTCACTTTTATAATCTGAATTTCCAAATTATTTGTTTTTGGATAGTTTCTATTTTTATAGCACTCCAATACTTTAGATTAAGAATTAAACACTCTCTACCGTGGGTGTTACCAGATGTGACAGTGGTGTGGCTGCAGAACACTCCCTGCACTTGCAACTCACAAGAAACTTCTCCAATTTCCTCTTCTCTCTCAATCTTCTGCTTCTAGTTATCCAAGCCAAATGCTTAGACTTTTCCTTGGTTCCTTTCTCTCTTTTTTCCCTTCATGTCTACCAGTAGGTTTGGTAGTCCTGCTCATTAAATCACACCCCAAATTTCTCCATTTCTGTCCATCTCAGTGATGCTAGCAGCTTTGTTGGAGCCCTGCAGGCTCTCCCATGGACGGATGCAGCAGCCTCTTAATTGGTCCTGTACTTCCTTTCTCACCCAATTCCCCCTTCTCACTCCCCTGCTTCAGATATTTCACTAGCTTTTTGCACTTACCCTCTCTTGACACTATGCTGCTACTCCTGCTCTTATTTGCCCCCGCAGTATCCTGCAAACACTTACTTACTTCTTCCAAGAACCTCTTATAATTTGGTGCCTGGCAAGTACTCCCTGAACTTAATAGCATAATGATATCATAATAATATGTTCTGCCATTTATTGAATGTTTTCTGTAACCCAGACAGTGTGCTGAGTGCTCTCCAGGCATTATCTTATAATTAAATTAGATGCAACAAGCTTGTGAAAATGGTATTATTACTCCCATATCTTATTCCCATATTTTAGGAGAGGAAAACTGGGCCACAGAGGGTTGAAGTACCTTGCCCTAGCTCGTGTTGTTAGTCTGTGGCAGAGCCTGGTTTGAAGTCTGTCTCGTTCTAAATCATGCTCTTTGCTACTGAAGTTTCAAAAGTAGTTGGTGAACATTAATTTTTAATGCTCTCACAACAGTTTCTGTAGGACAATTCTAGAGCAAGCTCTAGGAAAAATCTGTTGATCACTTAATTACTTTATGCAGATTGTTACAGGGCAGCCCCGATACATACACCAGGTTTTATCAAATTATTCACATTTATAAAACTGGTGGTAATATTTAATGGAAAAAGGCTACTTTTTTTTTTAATTAATAAATTTTATTTTTATATTCCCCATACAATTGCAATCCCCCCATTCTGACCCCAATCTCTCCCCTCCCGCCCCCCACCCCCCAAAAAGTGTCTCTGGTTCATAGTTTTTGTTGATTTTGATTTTCACTTTCTTATAGTTATTCATTTTCCTGGTCCCTTATTTAAGTTTTCTAGATCCCTGCTATGAGTGAGACCATCCGGTATTTTTCTTTTTCTTTTTGGCTTATTTCACTGAGCATGATCCCTTCCAGCGTCATCCATGTTGCTGCAAATTGCATGTGTTTATCTTTTTTGAATGCTGAGTAATATTCCATGGTATATATGTACCACATCTTCTTGATCCAGTCATCTATTTTTGGGCATTTGGGCTGTTTCCAAAGCTTAGCTATTGTAAACAGTGCTGCTATAAACATAGGGGTGCAGGTGTTCTTTGGAATTGATGTTTCTGTGTTCTTTGGGTAAATACCTAGGAGTGGAATTGCTGGATCCTGTGGAAGCTCTATGTTTAGTAGGTCCAGAAATCTCCACACAGCTCTCCATAGTGGTTGGACCAGTTTGCACTCCCACCAACAGTGCAGAAGAGTTCCTTGGAAAAAGGCTACTTAAACTCAAGGCTGGAAAAAAACTGAAAGAACTCAGGCTAGGGATAAAACTGTGTAAGCTCATGATTGAGGCCATGTTTGGGTCAAAAACACACCCACAAGAGCTGTATGCACGAGAAAAAAGCAGCCTTTTCAAGACTTGAGACAAAGATTGCACTGTGAGTCTTGTAGACCTAGTGTGCTTATGGTGACCAATGCAAGGAAAGTTACTTTGGGCTGGTCAACCACAGGTGTAACTTGGAAACCACGTTGGGCACCAAACTGTTACAGGGCAGCCCCGATATAAAACGGGTTGCCTGGCTGTGGGTCCTCACCTGCGCACTTAAAAGGAACTTAATACTCCACTGCAGGCACACACAAAAGGTTAATAAAAGGCTTATTTACAAGGGAAGGGGAAATGAGGAAATGTACAACTCAGGGAGAAAAGAGGGAAATAAAGTCTTAAATGTGTCCTACACTTTCCACTTCCCTGGAATCCCAATGGCACTCTGAGAGCTGGCTGCGAGCACGAGCTGTGAAGCCAAGAGAAGAGAGAGACCCCAAGGCCCACATGTCTGATTTTTATACCAAACCTGGCTGCTTAACTCCACTCTCAGGTCCCAGCCAACTTCCCTTGGTGATGATGGGATTTGTCTTTCCCAATGTCTTGATGGCTTTGGTCTGGAGTAGGGGTGGAGTCCATAAAGCCTGTATGGAATTATCTCAGGACATCCTTTCCCCCTAACAAGATGACAAACTTTTCTCAATATTTAGTGTCTGTTGGTAATAAAAATAGTGTAAAAGTTGAGAATAAGCTCTGCAGTAGAACAGACCTGAGCTTAATCTCATCACCTGCTAGTCATTCCTATAGATCTCAATATTGTATGTGCCAGATAATATTCTAGGCACTGGAGATACATCAGTGTGCAATCCAATAGTGTAGATTTAACATTTTGGTTTTATAAATTGGTTTTGTTTTAGAAGTGCACAATGGCATAGTTCTTCTATGCATTCAGTATAAATGTGATCCATCTTTAACCCCATCCCAAGGGGACCTTTTTGAGTCAGCCTTGTAACACCTCTCCCAAGGACACTCTCCTAACAAGACCGTAAGTTTAGTTTGCTGTAAATGTAGTTTGCTTCTTCCTACCTCTCTACTTTCCTTCCAGTTAAAATTGAACATTAAATTTAATTTTATTAGATATAATAAACTCAGGGAACTTACATTCGAATAAGGGTGGCCCAGTAAACATAACAAATAAGTGAATTATACTTATATTAAAGATAGATAGTACTTTGTGGTGGATGAAATAAGATTTTTTTTTAAAGATTTATTTATGCACACAAGAGCTGGGGTACAGGCCAGAGATGCGGGGGGTGAGAGGATTCACCACAGAGTGGGGAGCAGAACAGGCAGATTGACTGAAATACACTGCTGAGGGGAGCAGTGAGTGAGACAGGAAAGGTCTGCCTCGCCATGTGGGTTGCTCCCTGGCTGGCTGGGGATTGCACTAGTGCTGCAGAGGCTGCAGATTACTTCATAGTGTGTTGTTTAACCCCTTGCACCACCAGGGAGGCTCGGGAAATAAGATCTTGATGTTGAAAATATGGAGAGTATGTTGCAGATGGACGTCAGTGAGTTGAGTCTCACTGAGATGGACAGAGAATTGGAGGAGGGAAAGGAATTAGGGAGATAAATATAAGAGGGAGGAGGTACTAGTTAATACCCAGTGCATTCTCATTTAAAAGCAAAGTGCCATTGTGGACAGGGGAGGGGATCAAGCAAGGAAGAGATACACCTGAGGTCAGAGTTCCAAGTATTTTGTCAGTGATCAGGAAGTGAATTTGCGTACATAGAGCATTTAGCTCAGGTTCTCAGAGCCCATTATCTTCTCCAGCCACATCTCCTTCTGCTCCCCCTTGTACATCCTACCCTGCATTTATAGCGAAAGACTCTGAAGATGCTCAAAATATTTATGCTGTTTTAAGTCTTTCTCCTTTTTGTACAAATCTAAAATGCCCTTCTCCCCTCCCTTGTCATTCTGGGAAACCCAAGACCCACCTTGGGCTCTCCTTTGGAAGGACTTCTTGGATTCCCTCAGCTGCAGAGCTGGTGCTTCCCTCTCTGGACCACCAAGTACAGTGTTTTGAATATGTGTTGGTTACAGTAACACATGGCTAATTATAACTGATGCTAGTGTCAGCACATAATAGGTGTCTGGTGATAGGTAAGTCCTTACATGTTTATAGTTTATGCCTCACAGCAGCCCTGTAAGAAATGTTTTGTTATCCCCAGTGTATAGGTGAACAAATAAACTTGCCTAATATCATCCAGCTATGAAGTAGTGGCAGCAGGAATTTTTTATTTTTTTACTTTGCTTATTCATTTTATTCACATTGATTTCTTGGTGAAATTAAACTCTCTTACACTTTTAAGCTGCTTTCAGATTAACAGAGGAAGGTAAATTTCCCCCCATTATTTATCAGTATGGAAATTATATCATGTGTACTTCCAAATAAGATAGTAAAAGCACAAAGTTTCTGACTCCAGAGCCCATGCCTTTTTAATCATTGCATTATACCATTTACTGAGTGCTTAGTGTAGACGTATGGTATAGTAAATATTAGTTTGGGTGCATGTGTCTCCCATGCCCTTTGTGACTACTTTGAGAAAGGGAACCTTGTCAAATTCACCTTTGTTCTTTGGAGCTTTGTGCCTGGCTTAACAGTAAAGAGAATGGTTGGATGGTGAGGACAAGAAAGTTCTCTCATGTAATTTGTAAAAGATGGAAAATAGTATTAAAAATATTAGTGAGAGGGTGTTACTAATGCTGAATTGAATTTCGTTTTGAATTTCTTTGTAATCATGTCATTGTGCTTCTGCTTCTCCCCAGACCAGCATTAAAGAGGGACAACTATTGAAGCAAACCAGTTCTTTCCAGAGGTGGAAAAAGCGATACTTCAAACTTCGAGGTCGTACACTTTATTATGCCAAGGACTCAAAGGTAATTCAATGGAATATCAGCTGCAAGCAACTGTATTTATAGATAGATTTAAATTTTTGGTTCTATAAGCTGTTTTTGTTTTGGGACTTAACTATAGAATTGCTGCTCTCAATGTGCATTTAAGTATAAATGTCATTGATTTTAGTCCAAATCCCAAAGGAGGCTATTTGAGTCAATTTCCCTAAGGATAATCTTATAGGAAAGTTCTAGTGTAGTTTGCTTTCTTTCTTCTTTCCTTCCAATTAAAATGAAACATTAAACATAGCCTTGGTAGGTAGAATAAACTCAAAATGTTGGGTTTCCTCTTCTTTCCTGTTACTTTTGGCCTTGTAAGTCTTTCCCTGACCATGAGAGACAGAATTTCTGTAATTGCTAAGAATCCATGCTCTGGTTTCAAATATTCTCCACTTCTAATGGAGTGGCTGTGGCCACATTTGTTGTTAAGAAGCTACTTTAAAATGAGAAAATTGCATGTGATGTGCTAATATAAGTGTGACACGAAACAATCACTCAATTATGCTAGTGGTTAAGAATAAAAAAAATCATTGTGAAATGAAATCAAGGCTTACCATAATCTTTATATGACAACTGAATAAAGTAAGAATGCTGTACTTTAGGAAGAAGTAAAATTTTGACTGTGAACCACCATTTAAGACTGATATTTTAGTATCCTTCAAAAATAAACATTAAAATTTTTGGTACTATCCAGATGAAATTGATATTTTCCTTATTTAAAAAAAAATATGGCCCTGAAATAATTAGTAAAGTTATGCACATGAAGTAAATCTAATTCTTTGTTTATGTGGCTGTAGAAATAATAACCACATAAAATAATCTTATTTTGAAAGTCATAATGTTTAAAGCTGTCCCTGATCTGGCTCCATCCTGACTTTTCACAATTATTTCTAGGCGGCACTGGCCCTATCAAGCCTTCGATCTTGACCTGTCTTCCCATCCCCAGGATGACTTCCTTCAGTTTCCAGCTGATCGAATTACATTGTTTTGTTTTGTTTTGGTTTTCATTTTATATTTTAAAGATTCCTCTCAAAATGATATTGATTCCAGCATTCACAAGAGAAACAGTGTTTTTTCTGCTGTAGAAATATGTGATTTTCCAGAGCATTTCCTGATCTCTTCCACTTATAATTCTATCTTACATTAAAATTAATTGTGTCTGTTTTATCACTGTGCTAGAATATAAATTCTTCCTCATCAGGCAACAAATTTTGCAGTCACAGTGATTAGATTGAAGCAGACTTCCTTCACCCTCTGGATATCTTAAAGGGGAGGTAGAAGCTATCATTGAAGGGGACCCTCTTTTACAGTTCTTGAGGTGCATTGTTATATCTGCCTGGCTGCAAGGATATTGCATGAGTATGAACAAGAACCAATTGACTAAAAAGTAGGAAGTATACTTTTATCTTCTAGATTTTCCTAATCTCTAAATTGCACACTTTTAAGATTCTATTTCTATGGAGTTTTTATCACTGAAACTTTTTAATCATAACCACTTTTAAGAATATAAAAGAAATAGGATCTTATATCTGTAGAGCAAAGTTCAATAAATGTCAACAAATGTAGCCAGGACTAGTTTTCATTTCTTCATTTAGCAAATGTGGAAAAGATGTTGTTGCCTCTGTCTTAGTGACAAAGTTGTTACAGTTTCAGAGGTATGGGAGGATGTGTATAAGTGTGTATGTCCTATACTCAGTAGATTCCCGGTAAGTTATGCTTACAGAGCCCATCAGACATTTGCATTCAAACAACATACCAGGACATTGGGATTTATGTGTTAGTTGTACTTTGTGGTTTTACTCACAAAGTATCACTAATTTATATTTTCTTCATTTTTTATTCTTAATTCCTGACATAACTTCCTCAGTCATAACCTGCTCGTAAAATAATCTTGAGGAGCGTTGAATTAGGTTTTCATTTAATATCTTTGTGATCTTTTTTGTTAACAGTCTCTGATATTTGATGAAGTGGACCTCTCAGATGCCAGTGTAGCTGAAGCGAGCACAAAAAATGCTAATAACAGCTTCACGGTATGGTTATATTCTACTGTCTTTACTCAAAAGTCATAGAAAGACCTTCCCCAAGCATGCACAGAATGCCCTCATCAGTTACAGGCTACATGTCAACTCGTGTGTTGGAGTTCTTACCAACATAATAAACTTAGTAAATGCATTGTATATGCTCACATCCAACACTATTCTTGATTGTTTCAGTCAACAAACCAGTATATTAAAATGTGTTATTTAAATATTTGTATTTTTTCCCTCTTATACTTTTAAATTTTAGAGCTTTAAATCTTTCACTTCCTCCTGAGTGTAGAAATCATATATTGTCCAAAAATTAACAAAGATGTAAGAAAGAAAAGTACTGCCTTTAAACATTTTTTAAATAATAAAAAGGGAAAAAATAAAATTTTTGCTTCCTCAAATTTAATACTTCCAACTAGTTCCATTGCTCTTGAATATTTAAAAGGTTTGTTTTTTACCTTCAATCTGCAAATTATGTTCTCCTTTTCTTCCATTTTGATTCTAATTAATATAGTCCAGGCCTTCATTTTTTCTTAGGTAATTCATTTGGTGACTATTAAAGAGGCACTTTCGTAAAGGTAATTCTTGTATCTCAGACCACACTGAAAGACCTGACAGGTGCATCAATAACTTGACAGGTTGTACCTCTGACTCCACCTGAAAGTGATGCACAACCATGTCTCCACATTCTACTGTTAATGACAGTTGTTTGTCCTGATATACCCACCCACTGTTGGAATTCAACCGTTTCTGCAAAGCTTATTTCAGATATCCCATTCTTCTATATCTTTCATTCAAAAAATATGAATTGGGAACCTACTGGATATCAGGTACTCATGCTAAGCACAGGAGCTCCCAAGATAAATAAATATATACATATCACCCCCCTTGAAGACGTTTAGAATTTAGTGAGGTTCGTTTAGAGTTTTTGTTAAACTGCATATTCCTGAGGGCCTCTGAGATGCCCTATTCTTGCATGTTGTTGCCTCGTCCACACTTCCAGCCCCTGCTCTAGGAAGCCATGACTGCTGACAGTTGTATGGTCCATCAACTAGATATGGGGATGCCAGGGCAGGCAGGATGGACAAACATACAGAGAAGTACCTGAGAAAGGTTGGAAACAACTTTTGAAGGTTTGAAGGAAGCAAACAAGTACAGATTTCTTCTTACTGGTTTATGGTCATGTGAGATAATTCATGGTCTAGATATTCCTGCCCTCCCACCTCCCCAGGGAGAGTGTAGTTTGAGAAGAGGAAAGCCAAGAATAGAATCCTGGGAAAATGTTAAATTTTAAGGGTTGCCCAATAAAGACTGAGTGAGAGAGCATTCTGAAGTGTATAAGGAGCATCAGGAGGCAATGATATAAAAAACTAATGGAGGAGAGTTTCAGGATGGAAATTGTTAAACCTCAAATACTGTAGAGAGGTTAAGTCAGAGAAGAAATGAAAAGTGTTGAATTTGCTAAGTGGGCAGTCAGTTGGTTACACTGATGTGAATAGTCTCAGTGAAGGAGTGCTGTACATTAGTCTGCACTGTTGGTCAAAGTTGAAAAGCAGTAGGAACCAGGGTAAATCACTTTGTTGTTTTTTTCTTAATGTTTATTTATTTATTTATGCATACTAAATCTGGGGTGTAGGCCAGCGGTGCCGGGGGTGAGAGGATTCACCAGAGACAGAGTGGGAAATAGAACAGGCACACTGACTGAAATACACTGCTGAGGGGAGCAGCGGGCGAGACAGGAGAGGTCTGCTGTGCCATGTGGGTTGCTCCCGGGTCGGCAGGGGATCGAACTCCTGCTGCTGAGGCTGTGGATATCTTCACAGTGCTGTGCTTAACTCCGTGCGCCACCAGGGAAGGCCTGGTAAATCACTTTGTCTAAAAGCTTGGCTGTTAAAAAAGAAGAGGCATAGCTAGGAGAATGTTCTGTCTTTAAGGGGGAGTTTTGGTTTTGTTGTCATTCTTTTGCTTTGTTTTAAAAAAATGGGTTTGAGTGTTTCTATATCAGTAAAGAATTGTTGGAATTTGAAGTTGAAGCCTCAGGATAGAGAATAATTGATGGAGCACAATTGCTAAATAAGATAAAGGGCAAAGGAACCAGATCAAGGGTTAAGAGTTAGTTCTGGGTGGAAGAGAGAAAGCTTCTGGAGGTAGGTGTGAGAAGGGAGTTTGTATGTAAATGCAAATACTACTATTTTCTCAATGAAATTAAAGCCAGGGTCATCTGTTATGTGTAAGAGTTTATGAGGAATTGAAATAGCTACTATAGAAAATGAGAATTGAAACTGAACAGGGATCTGTAGAAAATACTAGGTAGTAAATAGTTGTCTACCCAAGATTGGAGATCAAATTTAGTGTGTTCTTAATTCCTATCTGTATGATATTTTCTTTGAGATAGGGATAGTGATTGATTCAGGATTGGTAGCTTATAGGACATTGGACAGAAAGATAAAGGGATTATTGTATATTTGAAGAATCAGTTACTCACCCCTCTTTTCCCTCTGAGTTCTCAGTTTTTGAGAATGAAACACAAAGGAATAAAGTAATCACAGAATAGGATCCAGAACTTGTGATAAGTTGGTGGAGGTATAAGGCTAAAATGCTGCTTATTTTTCTTTCTTAAGTGAAAGTGTTGGGGGGGGGCGGGGTAGAACCTCCCTTATCTTGCCAATCAGATTAACCACGTGCCTCTCCTGGGCTGTGAACAACAGTTCTCTCCCTTCTGGAGATTCATACAGGGAGGGAATGAGGGCTTTCCACTAGTAAGGACCTAGAATTTGGTGGCAAAGAGAGTTCCAAAATTTAAAATTTGAAGTCTGAATAACTTCAGGTGAAGACAAGGTCGAGTGTGTTGTTGTAGCAGGTTAAGATAAAGGGAATGGGAAAACTTTTTCAATTTGGGAGCCATTAGTCAAACCCTTTGTACAGCTCTTTTCTTGGACTTTAAACTGTTGAATTTGTTAACTGGGAGGTCAGTTGATCACATTGAGATAAAATGTGACCAATCTCCTGTTGTACCTTACTTATAGAACTTGCTTATTCTGTCTCATATTTGGTTAAATACTTATGTTATTGTAATCTAGAGGATAGGGACTCTGTTTTATCTTTTTACCTCATAATAGCTTATCACTTAAGTATTTGTGGATTTCAATTAATAAGGTGAAAATTTATTTAAGGCATGAGAAGACTTTTTGTTGAAATGTTTTTAGGCTATTTCTTTATATAATCAATAATTATTTTTGAACTTTGTTGAACTAGAAATGTGGGGACTTAGGCAGATGGCTTGGAATAAAGCAAATCAATTTGGTAGAACTTTCCAGAGGATAAAATGGAACAAGAGCTGTGTTTTCAATCAGTAATTGATAACACCCCATCTTTAAATATTTAAATGTTCTGCTCTCCTGAGTTACAGTGATTGTTACTGATGATGCTTTTATTTTGGCTAGTTCATGTCAGTGGTTCATGGTGTATTTTGATGGCGTGATACCTGGGGGACACAGAAATGGCCAAATTCTGCTTGGCTACAGCCACTCCTCCTCTCTTTGAAGTCCCTAAAGATGATATATTGATGATGGACAGTAGTAAGGGAAAATCTATAATTAGTAAATGGTAAAGCTGTGCTTTATCAGAAAACTCAGTGCTAAACTCTCTAGAGTATTTTCACATTCAGTCTAACAGGCATCAGTGTTATATTCAATACAGGTGAGGGCATAGGGTTGGGATTTACATACAGGTGGAATTATAAGGTTGACTAATTTGTTCAAGGTCATGTAAATAGACATGGCTGAACCAGGACCCACATGTTCTAGAATAGGTGTTCTAGAGAGCATGGCAGAAACTGACTTAACCTGGAAGTCTCTTAAACTGACAGTCATTTCTGCTGCCTTCTAGGGTTAAGAACAAGTCACTGATACTGACTGAGCTCAGGAAGGATCGTAGGCATCACAAAAGCAGTGTCAGAGGATCTGTGAACACGGTTTAAACCTACCCATGCCATGGTGATGTTCCCTCTTGCTGAGTCCTGTGTTCCCATCCTCAGAATGTTAGTTTTCTTTCTTAATTTTTTTTTTTTTGGGGGGTGTTCTGTTATATAGTATTATACTAGTTTTCTATTACTTTGCAACAAATTACAAAAAACTTAGTGGCATAAAACACCACCCTTTTATTACCCACAGTTCCTCTAGATCACACAATAGCTGGGTTCCTCTACTCCAGGTCTTACAATGTTGAAATAAATAGATATGATCAATGAAATATATATTTATATATCTCTATATCCATCCATAGTGTATACCTTTTAATTGGCTGGAATCAGGCTGATTTTACCAAGGTTATTATTTTATAAGTGTTTTCTCTAATAGGCAAAAATGACAGCACAAAACCTACTAACTTTGAAAGCATTTTCTGTACCATTTGGTGTCAATGATGTGATCAGGGAATGGGAAAAGCCTTATTGGCAATTTATATATGTCTTTAAGTTAAAGCTTGTCATCAATTTATTTTTAGCTTAAGACCTACTATGGCATTTTCTATGTTATGGAATCTGTACTATGTTCTTCATTTTTCAATTGCTTATTTTTTATTTTATTTATATGTCTTTTTGGAGTTTTATTTTCACTTGAACATTTTTAATCCTCTTCTGTGCCATGCATGAATGCTTTCATATTAGGCTGGAGAGAACCTCTTTCCCCTTAGTCACACTGGTGCATGCCCTGGGAAGGGGACCCCAGACTTCTTGGTGTTTAATCAGGGTTCTTTCATACGGTATTGCTTTTCCATCTGAGAGTCTGTCTCTGTCCCTCTGTTCTCTTGCTTCCTAGATCTTCTGCCTTCTCTGTCTCTTTCTCACTAATCATGATACACATAGAATGATCCCTTGGATTTACCCATCTGCAGGACGTAACTGTGAAGTCACATGGCCTGCATGTGGGTCCTGGTTCAGCCATGTCTATTTACATGATCTTGAACAAATTAGTCAACCTTGTAATTCCACCTGTATGTAAATT